CAAGCATCACCTCCTTTTCTCTCTCCCAATTCCTAGCTTTCCACAGCCAGAGTTTTGCCTCTCACTTAGTGAAGTGCCCCCAAAGGGAAGGGAAAAGGCCGACTTGAGCACATCCCTCTGTGCTGCTGGAGACGGAGAGGGGAAGGGCTCCTCTGGAGCAGCCTGTGCTCCTCTGACCTCCTGTTTGTGCTTTCCTTTCTCTCCTCAAGAAAGAGAAATCCAAATCAAGCAGCAGCACTGCTCGAGAACCCAATGGCTTCCCAGCTGACACCTCTGCCAACTCCTCCCTCCTCCTGGAGTTCCAAGGTGCGTCTGGCTGAGCTCCCTCTGACCTGGGGAAAGACTCCAAGGCTGAACATTGCCAGTTCTGTATGTGCTGTCTGGATGGGGAAGAGCAGTGTCTTTCTCCAGTGTGGGGTTGTGCTGATCTACTTCTGGACTGTCCCTGCCCAAACTATTTGGGTTTGCTGTCAGAAGGAATCTTGATCAACTGTTTCTGGGAATCTTCCTGTGGGAACCATCACATGGAACTGGAAGACTGGGGGTTCCTGTTCCCCCTTTCCACTCACTGCTGGGGAGAGGCATGCCTGCAGCCAAGCCCGCTGCTTCCAGCAGTGACTTCCCTGGACCTTGGGATGAAGGGACAGAGGATGTCCCTGGCCTGGCTCTTGGTCAAGGTGCTGTGGTGCAGCCAGACAAGGCTCTGGCAGTGCCAGAGTTGCTGCTGTCCTGTGCCCAGCCTCTTCTCTGGGCTCCTGGTGTGGCTAAGGAAAACCAGGGAATGTGCTGGCCTTTCCAAGACATGCAGTGATGTTGTACTGCAGGTGTGCAGTTTGGGAAGGTGTGTGCCAGGCCTGCCTCCCCATTTGGAGGCAGGTGCTGAGCATCGCTGCTGGTTCTGCATCAAAAACAGAGAAGGAACAAAACCCTGGTAACACAAACAGGAAGTTCCTGCCCTCAGAGGCCCGGGGCCCTCAAGGGCTGCAGACATGAGATTTGGCAGTGCAGCCCCTTTGCCTCCTGCTTTTTTTGCACACCCTGGGGTCTGTCTGCTCAGACTTGTTCCCTCTCCCCTGGCCAGTTGTGTCTGTGGTGCCCCTGGTGTCCTGGTGCACAGCCCTGTGCCCAGCAGCCCTTGTGCTGACAGGGCACAGTGAATCCCCCATTCCACTCCTCCTCGGCGAGACCCCGGCTCACAGTGCCGCACTCGGCTGCCCATGCCCCCGGGTCAAGGTGCTCTCCTTCACCAGGTGCTGTTTCTGCAGATGAGAACAGCAACCAGAGCTCCCTGTCCGACGTGTACCAGCTCAAGGTGGACAGCAGCCCCAACTCCAGCCCCAGTCCCCAGCAGAGCGAGTCCATGAGTCCTGCCCACACGTCCGACTTCCGCACGGACGACTCGCAGCCCCCCACCCTGGGGCAGGAGACCCTGGAAGGTGGGTGCTGGGCTGGGAAGGGAGCAGGGGAATGGCAGGGCCTGGGGAAGGCCACACTGGAGCTGTTGGTGGTCCGGTGTGTGGCTGAGGAAGTGGACAGGGCAGTGGGGACTTGTGTCTTCTGCTGAAGGTCCTGTCCTGGCTCAGCACTGAGCTGGGTGCTGGGTCTGCATTGCTGTGAACCGTTCTGTTCTCCCCAGAGCCCTCCCTGCCTTCCTCAGAAGTGGCAGATGAGCCTCCCACTCTCACAAAGGAAGAGCCAGTCCCCCTTGAGACTCAGGTAAGGGAAGGGTATCGAAACTACCTCTAAATGTACACGGCCTCTTTCACCCTCATTGCTGCTCCCTGCACCAGAAACATCTGGATGGATGCACTTGCTCTGCAGTCCCAAAGTGCCCCCCAGGGACTCTCCAAATCTTCTGGCTTCCTGAGCTGTCCCCTGGTTCACATCAGGCCTTAAAGTGTGGATGGGAAGGATCACGGAAGGATGTTGGGGTTTGGGAAAACGACAGTTGTGGCGGGCTCCAGGCTGGAGTGGGTTCCCATTGCTGGTGCCCTGGGGTTTGCATACAGGTGACAGCCTGGGGTGTCCCCAGGGTGTGACAGAGCCTTGTCTGGCTGTGCGTGGCTCAGTGTCACTGCCCACGACCTCTGACTCTTGCAGGTAACTGAAGAGGAGGAGGACTCCGGTGCGCCGCCTCTGAAGAGATTTTGTGCCGACCAGAACTCTGTGTGCCACACGGCCTCGGAGAGCTGAGCCTGCCCGGCCCGGCACCCTCGCCAGCCCCTCGCAGAGCTGCCTGGCCCCCGGCACCGGCGCTTCCCCCCAGCCTGCCCCTTCCCCAGCGTTGGG